TGGAACTACTTGAGCAGGTCTCCCTTGAAAAAGAGATCAATGATCTCAATGGGATTCATCTGTATAAATAAAGGTTTGAAATGAAATAGCCGCAGACTGAAAACCCTCATACATGATGTAAAAACATTTTAAAACACAACAAAATAGAAAACCGCAATTTAGAAAACACAGACTGTTTGCTCTTACCTGCAGTTCGTCATACAGACTGCCACTCAGGTACATCTCTCTGAGCGGCATGTCGGGCAGTTTGGCGTGAAGGAACACCCGGAGCTCGGCACAGATGTCCAGCGCCGCCCTCCTCGCCACAGCCTGCTCCTCGGTGGGGATGTTCACGTTACTCTGGTAGAAGTCCAGCAGATGTTCCTGCAGCGACATACGCACCCGGGCCTTCTGAAGGTCCGACTGAGTGGCGCCGCTGCCGCCCACAGCTGATCGACCCACGGCCCTCCGTAGGCAGTCTGAGGAGATGAGGAGAAAGGAGATGAGAGAAATCTTCTTTAGACACCATTACAAAATAAGGAGTTTTGAATAGAAGGGAGTTAAAGTGGAAAAAGACGGAAGAGGCACGGGTTTGTTTTCTACAAATACTAAATAGGGGCTTCTATAGTATCTAAAAATATATACCTAACTAGGGCTGCTCAATTAATCCTATTTTAAATCGCGATTATGGCTTGCAACGATTACGAAAACAACGTAATCGAAATAAAACGATAATTTTTTTATTATTACTTTTTTTTTTTGCTTTTTCAGTTGAATTATACTTAAAGTTCAGGCTAATCAACTTTTAAAAACATACTGTTCACATTTTATTTCTCCAATGAATGGATGTTTTCAAAGTCAATGAATAATCGCATTTAATAATCGCAATTACAATTATTGACCCAAATAATCGAGATTAGGATTTTTGCCATAATCGAGCAGCCCTATACCTAACTGATGTTTACAACTGGCTAACTCACTACTGAACAACAGTAAAGGAAGACACCCACACCCACTGTAAAGGAAGAGCAAGAGTCCTCCAAGCAGGCGGTCTGTCAACAGATAAAATGACAGCTGGCTGAAAGTCTAAACCACAAAATAGGCCGCTCAAAAATAAAAATAAAAAGACACGTGAGACAAGGACATGGGAATGATTTAGCTTCACTTTTCCTCACCTGGTTCAAAAGCATGAGAGGAAGTGGGCAGATTCTGCAGAGACCGGCTCACTGTGGACTTCATGTCATGGTTCAGCACCCGGGGAGATGACCCCATCCATGCAGGCTCCTCCCAGCTCCTCCTTCCTGTCTGCTCCATGTTGGTCGGGCTGTTGGGAGTACTGATGGCACGGTCGTACATCTGCACGGTAAAGAATTGCATCGTACGGATCCTTAGTATTCTGCACTATTTCTACCATATTCTATTTTATTGTATTTACTTGTACTATTTGATCTGTTTTATTGTGTTGCACTGTTGGAGGAGCCTGTGACCTTTCATCGACATAACTACACTGTAGCTATGCACACTAGGGCTGTCCCCAATACCATTTTTTGGGCTCCGGATATTCGGTAGTAATCGGCAGCGAATATTCGTTCCGAGGCGGGGGGGGGGGTGCGTAGTAATCAGCAGCGAACCACTTCAACACGTGTATTTCGTTTTATTCACGGCATTCATTTTGTCATTCTACAGTATTGTTGTTTTATAGTTATTTGTTAATGTAACCCAATTTGTGTTCTTTGAAATTGAAAATATCGCATTGTGTGTGTTACTTTCGTTGCAGTTGTATATGTTATATGGACATGCTTTTATTTTGAAGGAGAGTTAGCACAGTTGACAGGAAGTTGTTGTTGCTATGGAAACAACGTGATGGAGATTAATGGAGAAAAAGTAATATCTACATATAAAAGACGGAAAAAGTAAACGA